AATAAATGCGTTTTACAACGCGCATCAAACATGCACCCTCAATGCGCATTCACGAAGGCGCATTTCACCCGCAATAAATGCGCATTATATATGCGCATTAATAATGCATCTCAAATGCATATTCTTAATGCGCATTTAATGCGCAATACATGCACTTTATGTAACGCGCATTGAACATGCATCCGCAATGCGCATTCTAAAATGTGCATAGCACTCGCATTAAAGGCGCACGATGAACGCGCATGGTAGTACACCTACAATGTGCATTGCACATGCGTCCATAATGTGCATTCGAAAAGTGCATAGCACTCGCCTTCAACGCGTATTTAAAAAATCCTATTGAAAACTTTGACCGAAAAGCGTTCCCGCCAAAACATTGGCTCTCGCTGATGATCCGCCACGACCGTTTAGTTAGCTATCGCAGAGGTACCTCCACCGTACGTTGTCTGTACGCTTTATCTAAAGGTGTGGGACAAAGTAGGATTTTTCTATTTGTCAATGTGGGCTGGCGTGGCGTGTTCAACGAACCTGACCTGTATGAGGCATCGTGAAAGAAATTCGAACTTGACCTAAAGCATCTTATGTCACTAATGCGCGTATAGAGTGCATTATGTGCGCATTAAAATGCTCGTGGATGTTCCACATTCGATCTGCTTTTGAAATGCGCATAAAATGCGTTATCTCAATGCGCATTATGACAGCGCATTATATGCGTTGATAATGTGTTACATTCGAGGCGCATTTTAATGCGCATTAGATATGCGCATTCAATGCTCTCAGTAATGCGCGTTTAATGTGCGATGAAGGCGCATTGGCGCTACTAGGGAGGTTTGGCACCTGGTCTTCGATGGTCTTGAACAGTTCGGGGCGCAACCGCACCAGGGCCATGGACGCGCCATGGAACTTGCCGAGCTGTTCGAGTGCAAGCCGCATGTGGGCTGCGTCCAGGCCTTTGCTCCTGTCAGCGTTTACGAAGCCCTCGGGGCCGAAGTCCTCGAGTGCAAGGCAGTAAGGGTGTGAGCCCTTCACGGCCGAAAAGTAGCACTTGGGCCAGGGCAGCGGCTCGCGCAGACCCGCCAGCTTCTCCTGGGCGGGTATCAGAGTCTCGTACACCAGGCCCTCCACGCCGAAAAGATTCGACATCATGGTCTCCATGCCCTCCCTGGAGATCTTCACCATGATTTTCAGCTCCGCGGGTCGCGCCGAGTCCTTGAGAAATTAACAAAACACGTTTATCTCCCGCGCTATTGCATTTTGTACTACTCCACGCTAGAGCCACCCCCTACCTCATCCCGTATGACGCAGCGGTACAGTGTGCTCATGAAGCCATCACGATTTCTGGACCCAGACGTCACGTTGAACCTGAAGTAAATAGATAATTAATTACTGGCCATGAGACGGCTAGCACTTGCCACTGCCACTCCCGGCCACATCCTCACTCACTCCCATAAAATAATAATCTTTTTCTACCAATAAAATGACCTAAACAAGAGAGTTAATGTCCTCCAACAGTGTTTTCCTTAGGTCTTTCATTTTCACTGAAAAAAATGTGCAATATTCTATGCGTTTTCGGGGCTCCAAAGTAAAAGTTGAAAAAGCCCCAAAAAATGCATCCAAGCCCTTATCACATGTAGGCTTATTTGATACGGAATATTGCCATCACGAAAATGGGCCTTAGAATTCAGTTACTCAACAGTCTGAAAATATTTCGTAAACTCACAAACTACAATGTATTTGAAGCTTTAGTGCCTTTTAAACGTTTGATGTTCTTTTTCTGTTTTCACCTATGTCCTGGAAGGTGAAATTTCCTTAACAGATTCGTCGAAAGACTCAGTTTTCTAGATGGACTCACTGTGGCTTCTTGAAGCCCTGCTTCGAGGCGATGTGGCGGAGGGCGTTGTCCACGACGTCGGGCACGTCCACCATGCTCCCGTCCGCAGCAGCCATGACTTGTGG